TGTTTTTTTGTTTCTCATTTTTTTAGAAATATAAGCGTTGGTAACCGTTATTATTTTGGCTCGTATCTATTTTAAGAAATATTGCAAAAAATGTGTGAAAATTTTAGAAATAACAAAATCAAAGGTCTGTTTGGTAAATTTTCATTTCTTCTCGATAGGGAATTTGCCGGATTTTGACGCAAAAAAAAAGGACCAATTATGAAATCCACCTGCGCCCTCCTCATCTTATCTTCCTATTTCTAAGGAAGAGCTGACTTCGACCTTTCCAATTTCCCGTGGATTCTTTTATTCTTTGTTCTGACTAACCACTGTAGTCTTGCTTTTTTCTTTGTGTGTTGTCTTAAAATCGCTTTGATTTGATTCACCTATGAGAATTTCTACCCACTTTGATTCAGCAAAGCTCATCCTAATCTCCGTCGCAAGGCCACTATCGTAATTGAGAATGAGCCGGGCGAGGGGGAGAGATGGAAGGCCTCTCCTTTTGAACCTTTGATTCCCCCATTTTCATTTCGCCGTTGAAGCTATTCCCTGCTTTGTCTTTTCCGTGATGTCAGGAGCTACACTTCTTGCGATGTTTGATCATTTTCTGTTTGCATTCGTCTGGAATTTGGTTTCCAGGGCTGTTGAGAGTTCCAATTTGAGCATTATTAACCGGTGGATAATCTTTCGATATTCGAAATTAGCATGAGTTTCATCAAAATGAACATATAAAGATGGACTGGAAAGCTGCCTACCTGCGAAAGCCGAATAGATCTTATTTTAAGGCGCCCCATTCAAATCAGCATCCTCCGTTTATGTTTTTCTTTTTAATAAAGAAAAATAGAATTTCATGGCTCAACACTCATATATTAAAAAAATGATAAAACAATATTTTGTATTTATGTTTTGAAACAAATTGGAAATGATAACAATAAACAAGAAACTTGTCTTTCTTCTTTCCACAATTTCTATACAAACTTGAGAATGTTTCTAAAAAAAATAAAATGAGAAACAACAAAAATAAATAATTGTCGAATGTTTAGGTTTTTTAACAAAATTGGAAACGAGAAACAAGAAACGAAACGTAACCAAACCAGTCTCAAGTCTCTTGTTTCCATTTACAGTTTTTTTTTAAAGCATAAATAAAATCCTTATTTTATCATTCTTGACTTATAAAATGTATAATACATATTTTAAAAATTATATAACATAAAAAAAATTGAATATATAGTTTAAAAAATTAATTTTATATAAAATTTGAGAGAACGAGAAACAAAAAAGTTATTTCTTTTTTCGATAAAAGAAGAAAATAACAAAAGAAAATAAACTATTACTAAACACAATCCAATCTTTATTTATTAAAAAAATGAAATAAGAAACATGAAAACAAGAACATTAGAGCCCAACGTTCAAATTTATTGTTTCTATTTTTTCTTTTTTATTAAAGAAAAATATAATTACATGACTTCCAACATCCATGGATTCAAGAATAATAAAAAGAGATTTTTGTTTATGATGGAACAAATTGGAGACGAAAACAAGATCCAAGAAACTTGTTTTTGTTGTTTTTAAAATTTCTATGCGATATTTAGAATGTCTCTAAAAAGTGAGAAATAAGAAACATAAATAGTTGTCAAATGTTTCGATTTCTTAATAAAATTGAAAATGAAAAACAATAAGCTAAGATAGAACGTTACCAAACAATCTATTTATTTGAGAATCTGTTTGGTAAGGGTCCGTTTGGTAACGTTCTTGTTTGTTGTTTCCAAAACTTCTATACAATTTTGAAAATCTTCCAAAAAATGAGAAACAAGAGACATAATTAGTTGCAAAATGCTTAAAATTCTTAAAAAAACAAGAACAAGAAACAAGAAATGTCCGTGATTTCTTTGGAGGTTTTATAAATGACATCACCGTATCTGATATGTCAAGGATATTAACTAATCCGAAGGCATGAAAATTTCTTGACTTATGAGAGGGGCAAAGAAATATCAATGGAAGTTGAAGAAATTGGAGGCATCTAGAACGTCACACACAAGTTTTAGTTTAGACATTGGAGGTTGAAGATTTTTTGTAATTTTGTTTGTTCCTCTTCTTTGTTGTATAATTCAAGAGAAATTATAAATCAACGCACCAATTCAAAGATGGTTTAGTGGATAAGACGTCTATTATTTTATATTATGTTGAAAAGCTTTAGCAAATTGCTTAGTCTCATTCATCTTTTGTGCCTTACTCGCACATACATTTGTTTAACTATACAAATAATTGTTGAGGGGTGAATTTAGAGTGTGCCACTTGGAACGCTAGGGCAAAACATGTAAAGCTTGCGTGACCTATTAAAGAGGAGAGTGTCGAGCACGTGGGGGGGATTGCTGCTATTATTAAACCATTCCATAGAAATCGAGATGTTAGGATCTTACTCGGGACAATATGATGATAATTCATTAATCTCGAGTATGAGAACAATAAGTATAAGCAGCAACAATACAGAAGAAGAAAATTATGGTCAAGGAAGTTCTTATTACTCTGGGTATGGTCAAACTGAATACTCACCCTATGGCTATGACTATCACCCTCAATCTCAACACTTTCAATCTAGGATGACCTAGGAGAAGTATTATAATTTATATCAAAGTTATCAAGATAGTACACTAGATCTTCCTAGGTCATCATTTTGGTATTAATTAAGTTACTTGTTCTACTTTATGTATCACCACCATTTGTATATAATAATATTTTATTTTATTAAATTTCTACGATTATTTCAACATTTATAAATGTCAATATTTCATATATATTATTCAATTATGCAACTAAAGACTATATTGGATTAGAAATTATCAATAAAAATCAAGTAACAATGAACTTTAATTTAATAACTCAAATAATTTCCATGTACGTATTCTGGATTTTGTTCCAACGTTTTCATCGCGACGACATTTCCCTAAGTAATATTAGTTATATATTTAGATATGATGGTTAAAAGTGAACAATTATAGACAAATTAAACTAAAATTAAAATTTACTTTATTTATTCAAATAGTTTTCATCAATCTTCATTAAAACAAAAAAATCTTGTTTAGATATTTCCTGAGTCAACAAGACTTTGTCTTTCGGGCTGGGTTGTTGTTGCTGCCCTTGTAGGTAGTCCTTGTTGRAGAGTCATAGCTTATCTCAATTGAGAGTCCTGCGCAGCGTCTTATCTAGACCGCTGGCAGCCTTAGCTAGAGCCACTGTAACATTGGGGTAAAATGTGTCCTGCCTTGAACGAAGATGAACAGAGACTCCTTGGGACGYCAAGTTCGGATCTTGGCCTTTCCTCTCCTTGACTTGTATTAGTAGAGCGTTCTTCATCTAAAGGCTCTTCATATCATGAACTTGTCTAAGTCAAACTCTTCTTGTTGCGGGAGAAGGTTCTGGTAAGCTCGTCAGGTGCTGGCGTAAGTAGTAACTCCTACCGTTGCTAAAGCTTTCTCTTTAAGGCTTTTCACTCCGACTATCGTTATTCAAGCGGTATCACAGAGAATCTTTCCTTTCGTCCTTCTGGCAAGGGTTTGAAGAGGGGCTTGGTAGCTAGGAAAGTAAAGTCAGGGAGGAAGGCGCTRTACTATTGGGCAAGTAGCGGTTGTAGTCTCGTCTTTCTTGTAGCTTTGGGGATTTAACATTTTCATAAGTAAGATGACCATTTTCTTACATTTAATGGTTAGAAGTGATCGATTATAGGCTAATCAAACTACAATTCAAGTTTTCTTAGCCTAATCAAGTAGTATGATGGTTTCTCGTACTCTAATTCACGTTGAATGTGGAACTGTGATCAGTATGTTGCTGAATTGAGCATTGCTTCTACAATTTTTGTCGCTTGAACATTCTTTCTCTTACTTTTACATCTTGGTTATTCCTCTTCAAAGGTTAATGCATAAATTTGGTCTATTAGAATAATTACCAAATTTACATCAATCTTCTAAAATAAAAAAGATTCGACGAAACATGAAAAATATAATTTTGTAGCATACAGTTGTGGGGCGACTCTTTCAGATCCGAGACTTGCCCCGTTAGGGTTTGATCCGTTCCCTTGATATTGCTTTATTTCACTCATAACATGAAACAAACACTGAATTGGCTACAACTTTAAGTGCACTGTTTGAAGGGGAAGTTCAATAATAGTTATATTATCATATGGGATGTAGGGCCTTTTTATTTGTATTGTTTTTTAATTAAGAGACATGACATTATTACAAAGTATTCATACGTAACAAACAACTTTAATTACTCTTGCTTATGTCCATTCCCTTATATCTGTGTAACAAATAAAGATTTTATTTACCTTTTCCTATGCAAATGATATATTTAATATACCAATGATATACTTGATATATATACCTAATTATGAGAACAAGTATTGATATACCAATGTCATATTTAATATATCATATATGAGCATTGACATATCAATAATATACCAAATTATGAATGCTAATAATTTATTATACCATTGAAAGAATCAATACCTCATTACGAGTGATATTATACCAGTAACATATATTAATATACTGGTACACCTATCAATGAGTGTTAACATACCAACAATACACCAAATATGCATACTAAATATACCAATGATATACATATTATATTACTTAGTTGTACTTATCGATTTCTTTTATTGATTTGCATTGTGCTATTAATTTACAACTTCTAGATACATTTATAATTTAATATATTAATGATATACGTAATTTAATATACTATTTATATACCAACTCGAAAAGACTATAAAACTAAAAATAAAAATTTAAATATTTTGCTTAGCTAAACATAAATACAAATTTGACAAATTTTTAACTACCAATTGCAAATCTCCATTAATTGATAATTTAAATGAATTCAAAAGTTTAGGAATTTGAACAATTATGCAACATGACCTCCTCATATACTTAATTTGTATCCTCTATCTACCAAAAAAAAGAAAAGTCTCACACACTAATATTTAAAAAATGAATGAAAGTCAAAGATGCTTCAAGTTCAAGAATTCTGATTTTAGCATTTTGAAAGATGATTAATTATCAAAGTAGGGCTTGCCCCAAATCCACTCAACACTCCAACTATTACCTTCACGAGACCAAATATGCGGCAAAAGTTACCCCATCGGAACATTTTTGGTTGGTACCTTCCATACCCCAAAGATAGATTTTTTATCAGACAATGTTCTTTAGATTTGCCACCGCCTCGATACATCTTAAACATTGCCACAGAAACAAATTCAAATGCATCAGCATGAACTTCTGCAGCAGCATCAGCACTTGGCAAGAAACATCAAGATCCGAAAGCAGTCGAAGTAAAGTTCAAGATTATAGGCATTATAAACTATTAAACTCGTCTATGAGGAAACAGACCTAGAAGTTTGATCATGTAGATGTTAATTCAGCTAAAGAATCGCAGGCGAAATACCATGGCCAATATACAGTGCAACTAATAAGGAAATACAATAATATAAAATGTTACAGAACCAAACAATAAAAAAGCAAGAAATTAAGTTCATAGATAGTCCAAAATTATAAAATCTAACTTTATGACAAAATGAATTCAAATGGGTCGGAGTATAAGCTTCCTAGGCTGCATTTCTATAAAGATTTAATAGTGGCCAACCGCTCCAAGGCCAGTATTTCATCATATTATACAACATTACCTAAAATCTAACAATCAGCAAAAAAATTTAATATATAACAGAAACATGAAAAAGAAAAAAAAAATCAATATAAAGGCCACCTAAGGCCATATTTTGGATGAAGCGCAACATAATGTTACCCTCTCCAAGCACCAGACACGCAGAAACTGCAGAAGGGGAACAACCAAATGCACGCATGCCAAAGTCTAGACTAGAATCAAGCTCCATTTGGAAAAGTCATAAAATAAAGCCCTCAGATCTCATAGCTTAAATTCAATCAATCACGCTTGACGTAAATGGCGTTCATCAGAAGCCCATGCCAACACCAACAACGATGTGTGTATATATATGTATGTATATGAAATAAAAGAAAAGAAAAAGATGGTGGCAGCGGTGATAGCGGATGGCGGAGTTGGTAGTGATGATGGTAGTGTAGGTGAGCACAGGCTAATGATGAAAAAAAGGCCATTTACAACAGCTCAATAGATTGTGTTTCCATCATTGGGCAAAATTAAGCTTACCAAATTCCATGAATAAATACCAACCAAACATCAAAGACTTGAGCAAAGAAGACGACGCCGATACACGCAAGGGCTCCAAACGGTATATAACACAGTATTGGGACGTTCATTCATACCTGTCAAATGGTCACTATACAATTCACATTAATGTTAGGCAGAAACTAATAAATACGTAGCAGCTTTACCATATCCGGGAGAGAAATAGGAAAACAACTAAAACCATAACTAGGATAATAGTAATGCATTTAATCCAACGATAAATTAATTAATTGTAGGTGAAAAAAGTATCACAATTCACGTGCACCATCATTAAAAATGATGACAGTTTCAAACAATGCCCTCAGATCTCATAGCTCAGTTCTTCATTGACTGTGTTTGCATTTGATTCTCACACTAGCCTCTACTCATCTTCAACCACTAAAAGAAAAGAAAGGAAATGGAATGGGAATTATTATTATTATATATATATGTATGCATGTTTGCAAAGAGAGAGAGAGAAAGAGAAAGAGTTGTGGTTGAGGGCAAAGGCCAGTATTAGAAATCAACGCAAATGCTCACAAAAAAGCACGAGTTTTTCCATCACTGGGCAGAGGAAATTTTAGGATACTGGAGGGAATTCGCTCGTAAGGTATGTCAATGTATGATCTAAATTAAACCATAAATAATATTATGCACGTTCCAGCTGATCTTTTCAAAGTAAACTCTAAATAATATTTTGCATACTTCTTCCTACTTTATTTTTTTCTTTATCGTTGCCTATATTTCTCATATACCTTTTTCTTTCCTTTTTCTACCAAAAAAAAAAATAATTTTGTGCCTTTTACTCTTCATGTTTTTTTCTTCTTCGCTCAATATATATTTTACCTCTATTCTTCTGTTTCTCCATGCTCAGTCCAAAACCCTGCAACAGAAGATCAAATAAATCTGATGTGCGAGGAGAGACTCAAATAATGAACATCTTAAACATTGGCATAAAACACAGCAAAAATTCCAAATATGTGAAGGAAAAAGTTTCCACATCAGAACAGTTTAGGGAGGTGCCTTCCATACCCAAAAGATTGATTCTTTATCAGACGATATTTACTTTTCATTCGCCACCCTTAAACATCGACATAATGCAAATGCATCGGCATGAATTTCTGCAACACTGGCACATGGAAGAAATATCAAGATCCCAAGCAGTCGAAGGAAAGTTAAGGATTACAGGCATTATAAACTACTAAACTTGTCTATGAGAAAACAGACTTGGAAGTTTGATCATGGAGATGATAATTCAGCTAAAGAATCGCTTGCGAAGTACTAGGCCCAAGATACAGTGGTACTCATAATAATATGGGAAATTACAAAACCAAACAACAAAAAAGCAAGATATTAAGTTCATAGGTAGTTCAAACAGCAAAACAGAGCAAAGAAAACTTATCAAATCTAACTTTATGACAAAAATGAGTTCAGATGGAGTCTGTTTGATTAGAAACTCAAATTCTATAAATTCTATTTCTTGTTCATAGATTTTGGAGATTAGTTTTTTAATATTGTTTTTGGATTCTGTCATCCAAACAGTAGAAATTTTGAAAACGTTTTCAATGTTTGCAGATTCAAAATTTTTCAGAATTACATTAAAAACGATAAAAACTTTTATAAATATATTACTTCATATTATAAACTCATTTTATGTTTGTTAAAATTAAAACAGGTAAAATATAACGTATACTAAATTAAATAACCTTATAAAATAATAATTATACAAAATTCATAAAACATGTTAATAAATTAATTAATATAAGTTTAGATTAAACTAAAATTTAGTCTGTAACTATTTCTAGTTTACCAAAATATTACTAAACACACATTGAACAATTTTTTAAATTGAGATTCAGTTACCAAATACATACCTAAAAACCAGTGTTTTCAAGGCACAAGGCGCTCCTCAAGGCGAGAGGCGATAAAAAAGCGAGGCCTGAGTGAAGCGAGGCACACCTAATAAAATAATAAATAAATATTATCTATAGTAATTTAAGGTAAAGAATAAAATACTCTAGATGCAAATATTTGTAGAACTATTTAATGTGTAAATAAAGTTTAACTTAAACAATTAGGAAAAACTAAATACAAAGTTCTACAAAATTTTAGTAAACAAAGTTTAACTTCAACAATTAGGAAAATTAAATATAAAGTTCTAAAAAATTTTAGTAAATAGTGGTTATATAAAAAGATAAGAAAACGTATTTAAATTAAACAAAAAATTAAACCATGCATTAACTTTTAACTTAAACAAAAATAGTAAAAAAATAGTGAATGTTTACTGCCATTTGGAAGTTTTGCCACCAGATGGCAATTTTATTGCATGGGAGTATTTTCTAGCACTAGTACTTCTAAGTGCGGCTTGAAAATGTAAAAAAGAAAAAGAAGAGGAGAAGAGGCTGAAGCTAAGAGGAAGATTAAGCGGTAGGATTTTCAATTCTCAGGTTTTTCGATTCTCTTCAATTCTTCTTCTACTTCTACATGGATTCTTCTTTTTTCTCCAACTCTTCTTCATCTTCGATTCTACTTTTCTCAAATTTTGATTCTTCTATTGTTTGGTTCTTTTCTCTTCTCAATTAAAGAAACGATGAAGAATTGAAGAATTGAGGCAGAGTATAGAATCAAAGAGAAACTAAAAAAACATTACAACACGAGGACGAAAGCGGTGGTGGCAGCAAAGGACGGAAGCGAAGGCTTCCAGGTGTGGGTATTAGGTTTATAGGGTTGCTTTTTCGTGGGTTTTAAACATTATTTAAAGAGGTGGTAGTGATGATGATGGTAGGGAAGGTGAGTACAGGCTAATGACGAACAAAGGCCATTTTTGTGTTTCGGTCATTGGGCAAAATTAAGCTTACCAATAAAAAAAAATCCATAAACAAATCTCTAAGAACCCACAGCCACAACCAAGCATCAAAGACTTAAGCAAAGAAGACGACTACAGTGCACTCAAGGACTCCAAACGGCATAGAACACAGAATTCGGACATTGACCCATACCTATCCTATACAATTCACATTAATATTAGGCAGAAACTGATAATTAGGAAGCTTTACCATATTCGGGAGAGAAATAGGAAACAACTAAGACCATAACTAGCATAATTTTAATGCATTTAAACCAACATTAATCCAAAGGAATTGATTAATAATAGGTGAAAAGAGTATCACAATTCAGGTGCACCTTCATTAAGAATGATGACAGTTTAAAACAATGCCCTCAGATCTCATAGCTTATTTATTCATTGACAGTGTATGCATTTGATTCTCACACTAGCCTCTACTCATCTTCAACCACTAAAAGAAAAGAAGGGAAATGGAATGGGAATGAATATATATATATATATGTATGCGTGTTTGCAAAGAGAGAGAGAGAAAGAGAAAGAGTTGTGGTTGAGGGCAAAGGCCAGTATTAGAAATCAACGCAAATGCTCACAAAAAAGCACGAGTTTTTCCATCACTGGGCAGAGGAAATTTTAGGATACTAAAGGAAATTCACACGTAAGCTTTGTCAATGTATGATTTAATGTAAACCATAAATAATATTATGCATGTTCCAGCTGATCTTTTCAAAGTATACTCTATAATATTTTGCATACTTTCTTTATCTTTTTTTTTTATCACTATCAATATTCATCACCATCATCATCACTCTATTTTATCATCTGGACTTTAAATAAAAAATATCATTTGTCCCTACAATGTTTTAATAAACTATTTCTCAAAAACATGACATTGACACATTTTTTTGTTCATTTAACTGAACCATAGAAGGCTGCAAATGTTTAAATTTCAATTAAAGTTAAGGAATTAGACTAAAATAGAAAATTTGGAGTTAAGGGACATGCAGGTTTGGGGAAAGAATAGGATTTTGACTTTATTATTATCATTATTTTATTCCAATGTAAAAAGGTAAAAAGACTATCAACTAGATTACTATTTGTAAGGAAAAACATAAACCATGATTCAAAGAAAAATATCAGCACTTAAAATAAAGTTTGAAGTTCATAACAGGAAGAAGATCTTTAACAATGCATGCCCTTCGAGTAAATTGAGTAGTTAATTAAGTTAAATCTGTAATAAAATTCAAGAGCAAACTTAAAATACAACTTTTCAAAGTCATTCAGAAAAATATAGTAATCGACAAATACAATTCACAAATATGCTACTTCTGTAAAATCTGACAACAACATCAGCTATTACAGTTCGAGATTAACCATTTGCAAGACGCCCTCAGATCTCATAAACATGATTCATCATTGCTAGATAAACATTTGATATTCATTACTAGCCTCTACACATGCTTAACCACTCATAAAAAAAAAGAAAGAAAAAAAGAAAGCAGATGGATAGATTGGGTTGATAGATTGAGATAGAGTGTGTATGTGTGAGAGAGAGAGAGAGAGAGAGAGATCGATCACATTTGAGTTGGTTAATGGCAAAGGCTTGTAATGAGATCATCTGTTACCGCTCTGGTAAGAGTTTTCCATCATCGGGCAGATGCAATTTTCAAAGCAAAGCAAGTATTTCAATAGAAAAAAGTCTATATGGCCATCAGTAAAACTTTGAGTACAACTGAAAGTAGTCAACTTAAGAAGGAAGGGATCCCATTGTCGTTGATAATTATGTATCAAAATATCTCTACTAAACCACCGTAGGTAATTATGTAATCAAATAAGATAACTGTAACACGTAGACATTCTATGACCATAAGTTTATGACAAAGTCAACTTCCCAATGCCAAATCAATTAGTAAATAAAAATCTGTAAAAATATAGTAATTAAAGAAAATGTATAAATTCTGGATTGAGGCATGCTAATCCCTGTCCTAAGAGAAGATATGTATATCGATACCTTTGCAGCCGTTATTTGGCTTTAGTTCAATGTTTCAAGATTTCACAGCGTCTAGATCAAGCAACCATCCTGAAAAGCAACTAAGAATACAATAAGTACAGTGGGACATTATTTACAATAAATAGTCAATCCAAGGTAATCGTGCAAATTGGGAAAAATCAGGGAAAAAAATTAAGCTCGTCTCTAAGAGCAAAGACAAAATGCAAGATGCCCTCAGCCGAAATTTGATTTTCATCACTAGCCTCCACACAACAGCAACCACTATAATAATTAAACAAAAGGCAAAAGCGAAAGGAAGAGACAGATAGGTTGATGGAGATTGGGTGAGAGAGAGAGAGAGAGAGAGAGAGAGAAAAAGTTGTGGTTGAGGGCAAATGCTTGTGATATGAATCAACTTAACAGCTCCAGAAATGAGCTTTTCATCATTGGGCAGGTTCGATTCTGATGAACAGGGTAAGAAAGACAACCACTAATAACAATAATCAAGATACTAAAGCAATCAAAACAAACATAGAGTTCACAGTGGTATAAATTAGAATCAATCATTTAGATCATTTATGAGAAAACAGTCCAACCTACAAGTACAAGATGAAAACTTTAAGAAACAAGCTAAATTAAAGAATTTTATGCTAACTGATAAATTTAACATTTAAATTCAAAAGCATGAAATTCATCCAAAAAAACACCATCTTGAAATAGAAACAGCGTAAATCCCCACAGTTCCACAAAAGCCTTGTAAACAGCATAAAACTCGATAAAACTTGCGGTTACCACACGACCCAGTCAATAAAGGTGAAATCAAAATAAAAAAACAAGAAATGAATAACCAACAGAATGAAAACAAAAATATTTCCAATTAGAGAGAACTCATCGGAGTCCTCAGATCCATAGCCTGAAGTGAACTAAAAGCTAATGATGAACAAAGGACAAGTGCAAACGCTGAACTAGGAACTGGGATTTCGATGGTAGGGCGAGATTAAGCCGTCCGATCCTCCTGTCCACCGGATCTAAAGACATCGAATAAATAAATCAGAAACCTAAAGGAAGCCCTAAAAGTAAAAACCGATGGCAACGGCGAAATCTATGGATTCGAAGGTGGGCGGAGAACACGATGGATTTGAACGGCAGAGATGAAATGACAAGAACTGAACTGTGATGTGACTGATAGTACGGGATCTCGGCTTCCGAGCTAAATATTTTAACGTTCAAATTTGGATAATAGAATATTGGTTTAAATATTAATTTGGTCTTTTCTTTTATCGATAATTAGCTCCTTTTTTCCACTTTTAGATTTGTTGAAGGAAGGCTAGACAAAAAATAGACTTTTGTTTACTAATAGCAAATTTTTTTTAGTACTCTCACTTACGAGGGGTCAAAAAATTGGACTTTGTAGTTAATTTTTTTCGTGGTATTGTTGAAAGTGAATTTGGAAGCCTTTCGTATTTTAGAGTAGCTCCCAACTTACACTATGTTAACCGTAAAAAGTTCTCATACTATTTAGAGAACATGTGAAAGCGAGGGATCAAACTCACAAGATTGCTAAGCTAAAACAGTGGAGACATTTTTCAGAGCTTAATAACGTGATAAAATTTAAATTTAATACCACACCTAAATATCATTTTTATGACTAATTGTATTTATTAATAGCTACATAATTTTCTCTTCATAGAAGTTCAATGGGAGAATAAAATCACTCCTTTTCTTCACAACAAGGCTGGCTTCGACTCAAGAGTGGGAGGCCGCTGTTGGATGTATGTTTTATGGGCACGACCCAAGTAGGAATAGCACCCTCCCCTTCCCTCCACTCAAAAGTGCCCACGCAGCAGATGGTTCAAGCACCGTAACCCCGACGTTCGCACAACCTCCTACCACCACATCCCCAAATTGCTAAAATAATGTTTTTTATTATAACAATTTATTTAATATTAACAGATAAAAACTATTGCATGAATTCTATTTTGTAAATCTTATTGATATTACTTTAATAATACCAAAGCGAGAATTTGCATTCTATCTCCCATCTCCACATGTTACTCAAAAAAATATATACCCATTACATTAATAATAACAAAGTAAAGTTAAATAGTTGACAAATTAAATAGAAATTTATAATACTTTATAATAAAATCACATTAAATATTTTTTTTAGAAGAAACATTATTAATAATATAAATACAATAAAAGTAGATAAAATTGCAACATAATCTCAAATTCAGTTCCAATAATATAATCTACCTCCACCCCCTCAGCCAGAATAAAAAAACACACTAAAAAATACAACGCATTGTCAACTAAATAAAGGCCGGTAAGAAAATGATTTTGAGATTTAAACGTCAATTAATACAAGGCTCAAACAATAAGAATCAGACAGAAACTTAAGATCATAGGAATCATATTTTAAGAAGTCCAAACAATAAGAACCAAATTGTTAATTAAGCCAATATTTCAAGGCAGATATGTTCACTTTCTTATATTTGTCAAATAGCATAGGGGGAATGAGAACAGGGTTGAGGAATCCCTGAGAGTAGGAAGTGTTAGAAGGAAAAAATTTTTATGTAGCCAAGTTGTTGATGGAGTAAATTTGAACATAAACTACTATAAAAATGGTGAGATCTAAAAGTCTTTCGCAAGACTTTAATCATATACTGTAAAAATATAAAATAAAATTAAGATCTGTTTGAGCAAATGTTGATCCAAGCAACGGAGCAGATCAAGATGAAGATGAATTTAGACTGGGAAATTTAAAAATTGACATCACAAACAAGAAAAAGGAGAATGAAGTTAATACAGAAGAAGGTTCAAAGAGAAGCAAAGCAATTGAAGGAAACCTAAAAGAATAGAATTAACAACAGCAGCGCAAAGATATTAAGCTCACGGAGAGTTCAAAAGACAAAACAAAAGAACAGTTCCTTAACTGTGAAAAAAAAAAAGAACAAAGCAGTTCCGTTTGTATAAACTCCCAAATACGTAGATCCACAAAATTCCCAAATCTTACACTAGAACTCCAGTAACCCTATGCGAAGAAAAGTAGGAAGATCATGGAGGAAGAACAGGAATTGGCATTTGGGTTTTTCCTATTTTCATAATTAGCATTGCATTTTTTATGGTAAATATAATCGGTTTAGTACATTCTTTGTTAATCATACGTGATTGGTTTTAAGTAGTGAAGTAGTGGACAGTTAAGTGGTGGAGAGGGTTGGATTTTGCTAGAACTAATGTCCTGTGTTTTGGGAGAGAAGAAAGCCCACTCGAATTGTCAATCTCTGTTATTTGTTTTCGGTACATTTTGCAACTATTAAAAAAGAACCCAATAGCAAGAATAAGTTCAAATGGGTTGGAATTATCAGCTTCCTAGGCTGCACTTCTAAGTACAATGAGAAACTGCCCCCAAATCCATTGAAAATATCATCCAATTCCACAACTTTAACAAAAATCTGACAATCAACATTGAATCCAAGAAAACGAGCAACAGATTGACCAAATAACAATCATAAAAACACAATTCAAAAACAAAAAAGGGATGGAAGAAGAAACAGATTCGAAGCTACATTTTAAAAAGCCGTATAAATCAAAACAAAACAAAAACGAAGCCCTCAGATCTCATAGCTTATATTGAATCACACACGGTTTAAAGCAAATGGCGTTCGTCCATCAAAAGCCCTTACAAGCAGTGACGTGTGTGCGATTATATGTATGAGTACGAAGGAAAGATGAGGTGATGAAGAAGGTGGAGGCGATGATGGAGGTGGAGGCAAGTAAAGGCTAATGACGAACAAAGCCATCTACAACCGCTCAATAGATTATGTTTTTCCATCATTGGGCAAAATTATAGATACAGATCTCAAGCATTCAATCAGAAATCATAAAATCAACAATAAAAATAAACAAAGCCCTAAGAATGCGTAGCTACAATCACCATCATCAAACATCAAAAACCTAAGTAGAGGAAGACGACGGCGAAGAACGCAAGAGCCATTGAAGGCCGGAAAACAGATGAATTAGGGTACTGAGCCATACCCTGGACTTTATAGAGAGCTCTAAATTCCACGATCTGCCATGGATCTCGCCACGAGCTGCGAAATAGGCGGCACTGGATTCTATTCTAGTTTGAGAAGCCCTAGCATGGAGGTTTTAGATGAAGCGGAGAGGCCCAAAAGAAACTTATGGTCCTGGCCTCTGAAAAGGAAGGCCCAAATAGTTAGGCCCAACATCCAACCATCCTTGAGCATGGCTTAAGAGACGCAGCGCTCGATAAGCCATCCAGATATCTAAAGATTAAATTACAAGTTTGGTTTTCAAACTTTTAATTTTAATTTTAGGGATTAGTACATTGATAAACTATTTAAAGATCATAATTACATAAAATGATGGAAGATATGAAATTTACAATTTTGTCATGAAGCAAATTTATTTAAGATGGTACCTATCACCTAAATTACAAAACTATCCTTTTGTATATACACATTAATATTAATTGATTTTTAAATTCTAGAATTCATTAATATATTTTGAATCTCATAATATTTGCTTAATGATACTTTCCAAAAGAAGCTAAACTATCAAAACATCCAAAAATATCCCCAAATCCCTCAAATTTGAAAATCCCAAAAATATCCCCAAATTCGAAAATAGTGAGGTTCGTGTCTTCTTCTCCGTTCATCGAGATTATTCTTCCGACTGCTTGCGCCTTCTCCGACAATTCACCTCGATTTCGTCTGCTTCTCCATTCGTCTACTTCAATTCATCTACTTCGTCTGTCTCAGAGGCTTTGTCACAGAGTTGTCTGTTCCTGTCACCGAGCAGTCCGTTTCCATTCTACCATCTTGTTTCTGTCCACTCCGCTCCTTCGTCTCCGATCCCCACCTCCGTTTTTCTCCGTCGCCGGAGCAGTTCGTCTCTGTTTATCCCGATCGAAAAGTTTGCATTGAAAACCTTGTTTTTTTTTGTACTGTAAACCCTTTTCTTGTACTTTTTTTTTTGTATATTCCAATATATCATAATGTTCATTTCATACCCAAGTAGTATCCAATAGTTGTATATATAGGGTTATATGAGAATATATCTTATAGTGAGTTTGATCTTAGCATACAAACCACCATAACAAATTTGTGCATTTCCCTTCTTGTGTGTAGGGATATATGGGAATATATCTTATAAAATGGTTGTCTTGTACTCTTTACCTTTTTGTATATAGGGATATATTGGGATATATGGGATATATGGGGGAAAAAGTGCTCGAACGGAGAGGAACCTATTGAATCAAATCTGAAATACGTTCGACGAAGGCTTCCAACAATTGGTGGGAATTTACACACGAAGATGGATGAAATTGGGTATTTTTCATAATAATAATGGTAAATCATGGGAATAAATCTTTTCTGAATGAGTTAATCAAGCTTGAAATTTTGTATGGGACCCACAATAATTAAAGGAATATGATTACAATTTAGGGATTCAAATCTTTTAAATTTTCAAAAAAAAAAATAACTATAATAAAAGTAAATGTAATAAATAAGGACAAAATCGGTATTATAAAAAATCATACCTGCAGAAATCTAAAAGTGTAAAATTTTAAAACTGTAGACATTCGTGAAACTAAGTTTAAAAAACAGCCTTCCGAACACATTATCTCTTAATTTTATGTTCAGTAGATCTTTATCATTTAAAAGTGTTTCGTAAGTTTAAAATCTATTAGACACAAATTTGAACAAAATTGAAAATATAGGGATCCTATTAGATAGTTTTTTAAATTTCATAGGCCTATTAGACACAACATTGGAAGTTTACACCTTAGGTACTTTTTCAAGTATCATAGGCTAAAAAACAAACTCTAAAATGTAGGAACCAAACTAGAATATTACACTAAAATACATCGTGTGAATTCAAACCTACACTGACCTCTTGTAGGAGAAAAAGATGTTTTAACCCATAAATAATGTTTCAGCTATATATGTGAACTTTTTTTTTCAACAATATATGAGAGGATGAAAATTCGAACCTCCAACTTTTTAGTTGATGATATAAATTTTAATCAGTTGAGCTACCTTCAGGTAGGTTGACATATTAACAAGTGAAGTTGACCAAAAGTTGGCATTATCCACCCTACTCTTCTCTCATTTCACATTTATGATTCTATTTTTGTTCAATTGTTGCAACACT